ACAAGAACAGAAAAAAACAATTCGATCATGGATTACAAAAAATTCAATCATGGGTTACAAAAAAAAAAACACAAAAAATTCGATCATGGATTACAAGTAAAAAAACAAACATTTCGATCATGGATTACAAAAAAGTCGATCATGGATTACAGAAAATTCTATCATGGATTACAAAAAATTCGATCATGGATTACATAAAATTGATCATGGATTACAAAAAAAAAAAACAAAAAAACACAAAAAATTCGATCGTGGATTACAAAAAAGAAAAAAATAATTAGATCATGGATTACAAAAAATTCAATCATGGACTACAAAAAACTCTATCATGGGTTACATAAAAAACAAAAAACAAAAAATTCGATCATGGATTACAAAAAAAAAACAAACATTTTGATCATGGATTACAAAAAAAAACAAACATTTCGATCATCGATTACAAAACATTCGATCATGGATTATAAAAAATTCTATCATGGGTTACAAAAATAAAAATAAAAAATAAAATTCGATCATGGATTACAAGAAAAAAAACAAACATTTCGATCATGGATTACAAAAAATTCGATCATGGATTACAAAAAATTCTATCATGGGTTACAAAAAAAAAAAAGAACAAAAAAGAACAAAAAAAAAAACAAAAATCTGTTCTTCATAGAGCCGTTTTACATAAGCGATTTTAACTCAAAAATCCACCTCTAAGTGAATAAATTACATCCAATTGAGTATATTTTCTGATAAACAACAATATAAGGAATCAAAACCCTAAATTTTTAACACATTATTTCTAATATATCATGAAAACAAAATCAAAAGGCGGAAAAAAAAAAAAAACAGCGGACTTTTGGTTCCGCAGACATCTCAGTGTTCATCTCAAATTTCATGCTGTAATTGACCAGATTACGTAAAATTGAAAAATTTAAATCATACTAGACACAATAAAGATTAAAAACCCTAATTATTGAACTCATTATGTTCAAAATATGCCGTGAAATAAATCAAATGGCGGAAAAAAAAAAAAACCCAAACTTCTTACCTGATTTTGTGAACCGAAGGCTTCAATCTCCAAAAAACTCCGTTTTTCTCAACGATTATCACAAATTAGTAACAAAATGTTTTGATTCACAGCTTTAAGATCAAAATGCCTACAAATTTTGAAAGATTCATGCCCTATTTGGCATGAAACCTTCAGAAATGGCGGAAACCCTAAACACCAAATTTTTTGTGATCCAAAAACACCAAATTTTTCAACCATTTAATCCTTGAAAAAGCTGAATAAAGCTGTTTACAGCCTGCAAATTAGATCACGTGCCAAAAAAAACAAGAAAAATGATAAAAAAATGACAAATTTCAAAGAATCCTGTGAAGAACACTGTGCACCCCGTGTTATTCACGGTCTCGCCGATTCCGCACAGTGACTCGACGAGTCACTGTGCAGAATCGTCCGGTTCTCTCTAAAACCGGACGATTTCCGATTTTTTAGCCAATCCGATCCGCTTTTCGCGATTTCCGAGTCGAACCGGGCGAGTTCGATTCGACTCGGCGTTTTTTAAAACACTGGTTTAATCAAATGCTTTAAAAAAAGTTCAATTAAATTAAGTGATTTTGAACCAGATCATGAATCGGTGGGCCATGTTCATAGTGAGAATCAAGCTAGTTCCTACATAATCTTACATAACCCTCCGCTTCTGCAAGGGTTGCAGCCGAATCAACCAATTATGTCAATGCACTGAGCAATCAATCGCCATCGCTTTTATTTTTTAAACTAATTTTCCCTTAGAATTTTCATTTTCTTTGTTATTTATTGATAGATCAGTCAATTTGTGGATCTGGATCAGCAATTCATGGATATAGTTCACGCAAGCGATCAAGGTTTTAAAATACTCTTCATAATAATTTTAAGAAAAAAAATTATTTAGAATTTTTTATTTTTCTAGATTTTATTTTTATTCTCAAACCGAAGAATTTAAGTGGGGCACCAATAGGCGATAAGACGAGGGATAGTAGACTTAAATGGGTTGGCTATGTGTGATGTCGACCAAATACAATACCTGTTAGGAGGTGCAAGTTAATTCAAGTGGACGGACTGAAAAGGGGCAACAAGTATGCCCAAAAAGATGTGGTTAGATGTAGTTCAAAAAGATATGGGGACTTATCGCCTTACTGAGATTATGGTCTTTAATAGAGTATAATGACTGACCAAGATTAATGTAGCCGACCCTACTTAATTAGAAAAATGCTATGATGATGATGATATTTTAATTTTATTTAATACATTTATATATAGCTCGGTCAACCGAGTCTATTTTTTAAGGGCCACATTGAGGTGGGGCTGCAATCTTTCTGCTCGAAATCAAATTTTTTGTCCTGGGCTCGGGGCAGATTGGTTTAGGGAGTGACAACCCTTGTATGGTAAAAAACACAAACTTTTGTAAAAGAAAATTGTTTCATGCGAGCTAGACCGTATTTTTATAATATGCGGTCCAAAGGTATAAAGCATCCATTTTAAATATGGATGCAAATAGGTGATCCATCTAAAAACAATCCTAACTAACTCCATGTTAAAGAGTAATGACACTGTGATAGCCTTCCACACCTATGTGAGTAAGACGTCAAAGGATCACCATTAAATTTTAACACAATTCTCTGTAAAAGTTATCAAATGGGTATGGGACTGGGGCGAATGGGTTTATTGATAACTTTTATAGAGATCTGTATCAAAATTGGTGATCTTTTGGGGTTCTATTCACATGGGTGTGGAAGGGTCTCATTGTATCATTACTCTTTCTAAAAATTAAAAATCAAATTATATTTTAAAATTATATTTATTGCCAAGCTCTCTTTTCTACGAAGTGGGTTGGTAGCATAGAAACCGTATCGTTTTGTAAAAGGTGCGGTTTGTATAGATCCTAGGCTCTAAACAATCCAATTAAAGCCTACCTTCAAATAGTGTCGAGGAATGTGGTTTCAATATTGAAAATCTTTTGATAGCCTTAAGATATACTCTTTTATTTATTTATAAAGTTTAAAAGCTTAAAAAATAAAGTAGATGGAGAGATTTGTGAAAATCTTTATAATTGATGTTCCAAAAATGCGTTACAAAATACGCTATTTTCAAAACTTGAAATCCATTTTTTTCTCGTGCTCATGCATCTTGATGATCAATTTGAGGATATTTGGGCATCAAAACAACCTATTCTAGTAAAAGTTTTGAGCATGGTTCGAATTTGATTATTTAGAGCTTCGGCTCTGTATAAACTTTTCTCTTTTAAAAATAGAGAAATGATCCTATAGGTCCTTTTCCTACTTATGTATGTAGGACTCAAAAAATCACCATTAAATTTAATACGGATATCTAGAAGAGTTAAATCTTCTATTATGTGATAACTTTTTTAAAAATACATTCTAAATTTAATGGCGATCGTTTCATGCCCTCCTCAAAGTTACGCGATCGTAAAAAGCGATCGAGGGCATAACCTTCGATATATTGAGGATACCATAGCCGTACTTTGGTCTTTGATTACATATATAATGCATTTCTCTAAGCTTCACTGGCAAAGTTTTCAAATACTAGTAACAGGGCATCTTGGCGCTAGGGTTCAGCATTTTCCTCCTTGTCTACGAACTTGCCGTAAGTTCCTCCCTCTTCTCTCATTTTACTCTCTTGATTCTAGGTTTAGGCTCTCTTCTCTGCTTTCAGCACCTTGAAGTTTTATGGCACATGGTTTTCTTTTCTTTGGATATGATATCTATGAATCTTTCAGAACCTAGGGTTTTCACATGGCATTAGCTTCCTTACTGCCAGCTACGGTTTTATATTCACTGCAGGAATCTCTTCTCTTCCATTAGTATTGAAAATTTATTGTTTATCTTCTCATTGGCGTTGCTTTCTAACTGTTCAGTGATATCTCACTAATCTCTGTTAAACCTAGTTTTTTTTTTCTTTTTTGTATTTTTTTTTTTTTGTTAAGAATTTTGATCTTGGATAGCTTTGTGGCGACACTAGTAAAGACAACCATGGCTTTGAAGGTTTGTTTGCTATGTAAGTCTAAAAAATCGTATCTTTTCACCATTTCCTTATTCTTACCCTTTTCTGCAGGTCCTTTAGGATTTAGGGCTTTCAGTCTACAAATTCTGGAAATATTTTGGCCCGGGTTTTTAGTATACATTCACCTGATCATCAAGAGCATATTTCAAATCACATATTCCTTTCCATCTAGTATTTCAATCCACAAGAATGGCTGCAACAACTGCATCAAAGGGATCATTAAAAACTGAGAGTTATGTCGACAACAAACGAAAGGATGACATTCGCTATGCCAATATTGTTGCTGCTCGAGCAGTTGCAGATGCTGTTCGCACAAGCTTGGGACCCAAGGGCATGGACAAGATGCTTGCTACTGCCTCTGGTGAAGTCATCATAACCAATGATGGGGCCACCATTCTCAATAAAATGGAGGTTCTTCAGCCTGCTGCGAAAATGCTAGTTGATCTCTCGAAATCACAGGACATAGTGGCTGGTGACGGAACCACCACTGTGGTGATTATTGCTGGTGCCCTTCTCAAGCAATGCCTTGCTCTGTTGAGCAAAGGTATTCACCCTACTGTTATTTCAGATGCTCTTCATAAGGCCTCTGAGAAGGCGGTTGAAGTGCTTTCAGCCATGGCTGTTCCCCTCGAGCTCTCTGACAGAGATTCCCTTATAAAGAGTGCGAGCACCTCTCTAAATAGCAAGGTGGTGAGCCAGTACTCGACACTTCTTGCCCCACTGGCTGTGGACTCAGTCCTTGCAGTTGTGGATCCTGCAAAGCCTGACCTTGTTGATCTTAGAGATGTTCGTATAGTGAAGAAGCTTGGGGGGACAGTTGATGACACTGAGCTTGTTCGAGGGCTCGTCTTCGATAAGAAGGTGAGCCATACAGCTGGTGGGCCCTCTCGTGTAGAAAATGCAAAGATTGGGGTGATTCAATTCCATATTTCTCCCCCCAAAACTGATATTGATCAGAACATTATAGTATCGGATTACACCCAAATGGATCGGATCCTCAAAGAAGAGAGAAACCACATATTGGCTATGATCAAGAAGATCAAGGCTACAGGGTGCAATGTGCTTTTGATTCAAAAGAGCATATTGAGAGATGCTGTTACTGACCTCTCACTCCACTATCTTGCTAAGGCGAAGATTCTAGTGGTGAAGGATATTGAGAGGGATGATATTGAGTTCATAACCAATACCTTGAATTGCTTGCCCATTGCAAATATTGAGCATTTCCGAGAAGAAAAGTTGGGTTTTGCTTCTTGTGTTGAGGAGGTTTCGATCGGGGATGGGAAGATTGTCAAGATAACAGGGATCAAGAACATGGGTAGAACTGCAACTGTGCTTGTAAGGGGTTCCAACCAGTTGGTTTTGGATGAGGCTGAGAGAAGCTTGCATGATGCACTTTGCGTGGTGAGATGCCTTGTGAACAAGAGGTTTTTGATAGCTGGAGGTGGGGCCCCTGAAATTGAGATATCAAGGCAACTTGGTGCATGGGCAAAAGTTTTGCAAGGGATGGAGAGTTATTGTGTCCGTTCTTTTGCTGAGGCGCTTGAGGTTATTCCATATACTCTGGCTGAGAACGCAGGGTTGAACCCAATAAGCATCGTCACTGAGCTTAGGAATCGTCATGCACAAGGGGAGATAAATGCTGGAATCAATGTGAGGAAGGGGCAGATCACCAACATTCTTGAGGAGAACGTGGTGCAGCCGCTGCTGGTGAGTACTAGTGCAATTTCATTGGCAACTGAGTGTGTCAGAATGATTCTGAAGATCGATGACATTATAACTGTGAGGTAATTTGTTTGATCTGGTACTGTTATAAGAAAAGGTAGTTTGATCTAGATGATCAAGATGGTCTATTTGGGGGGCACTCAATTCTGTTCTTGTTTGAGTGTTTTTTTTTTGTAACTTTGTTTTGACTAGAGGAAGTGTAGGTATCTATTTGGGGGCGCCTATTCTGTTTTTGTTTGAGTTTACCACATTTTCTTGTCTTTTTGAATCAAAGAACTTGGATTCCTGTTTTGCTTTCTGTTTTGAGTGAATGGTGTACAAGCTTTGTTGTTTGCACTTTCATGAATAGATAGGTCTGAATCTCAAATTTTGCATTAAATCTGTTACCTAATCTCTTTTCGTCGAAGCACTATCTCATGATATCTATTGCCAGGTTGAAATGTTCTGTACTATTTTTTATTATCTTATAGAAAATATCTTTTGTTATGTGAGATGTCATGTGGTTTTTGATTTTCTTATTTTACTCTTTGAAATGACTGGTGAGCTGTGTTCATCAAGAAAAACTCTTAGGGATTCAAAATTAAGAGATCCTGCTTGCACGTACTACCATGGGAACATGCCTCTTTCAAAGCTTTTTGTACAATCTCTGTTTCTGTGAATCCCTTTGGTTGGGTGATAGGATGGTCGGTTTGAGATAGGTTGCTATCATTCTCACATCTTCAATGAGCAGTGGGCCACCCATTTCATAATAAGTGTGGACTTAACTGTAAATAATGGAGTTAAGTGCATTGGGATCAAGAACACTGTACTCTTGCAATGTTATTACGTCCAATGTCTAGAATACCCTATTGATGCATCTATAATATCTCCATGAAACTATTACATTGTAATCTATAAGCTGTAGTTATCGAAAAAAAGAAAAAAGGGGGGAAAACAGGGATGTCAATTACTGGCTTTATTTTTTTTCTTTTCGATCAAATTGCCCATCGTGCCAGTGGATTTATGGGAGAATATTAAGTTGTGGTTCACTTGCGATTTTTGTCTGCTCATGAGGTACTTGGCTGATACCTGATTGAAAGATATAGCATAATTAGTAGTCAGTATAATTTGCAATACTGACCCACATAATGTAGGTCCCTCATCCAAATTGTTTTGCCTCTTATCTAAAAGTTGGGGCTATATGTTAAAGCATCACAGGCTTCAAACATTAAATCTTTGTACTCCTAATTCATGTGTTATGGAACTGTGCTAAAATATTGACTAGCAATTAAAAATGTTATAAATATTAAGCTTGAAATATTCCCTGCATGGTTTTTTTTTTTTGGAATTATTCACTGCATGAATTTCCCAGTGGAAAATGTATCACGGATTGCCTTTCTATGTGTCATGAAGGGAATGAGCTCTAGAGTCATTGTACGATGCTCATAGTTGTCGGGAACTGGAGCTGGGGATCAGTTCTTACAAGAAGCTCCCTATTTAGGGAGTGCCCACAAAACATGACTAAAAATAAAAACTTTGCCAAAACTTTCCATGATGATGAGATATAGAGTAATACTTATTACAAGAGAATAAAAGAGCAAAGAGACCCAAAACAAATGTATGAAAGAGAAGAAAAATGGGTTCTTGTCGATAAAACAAAAGGAAAAAGGAGTTCTCTGTTTTCTTTTATTTTTTAAAATGAAAGGAGTTCTCCGTTTTCAAGAAAAGTTTTCTGTTAGGCACATTGCACTAGACACCATAGTTACTAATTGTGGTGTACAATGCATTATGTGGTATTCAAAGTCGATGCGCTCTTGGGCGCACCACATATACTGCATATGTAGACTGTCATGATGCGTGCGCATATGCTATGCTCGCATATGAGGTGGATCACCTACATATGTGGGCACATCTCCCAGTGTTATGCGCCGGCATATGCTGATGACTACTTGTGGGCAGAAAAATCCCACAAGCAGGGGCATTTTAGGTACTTTCCTCTCTGAAAAGATGGGAAATTGGGTTTTGGTGGGACCTATATTCCCCCAAATCCCCTTTAGAACATTTTTCACATGGATCTAAGGGATTAAAGTGTAACAATTATGAATCAATTTATTTTTTTGTCAAATTGGAAGATTTTAATAAAAAATTGGGGGATTCTTTGGATGTTATTTACTTTTAAGTACTTGTAGACAATCATACTCTAATATTTGGCATTTTGGGTTCTGCTATATGCTACAGCCTAGAGCCTATTCTACTTAGTTGCTAGATGCTAATTTCTTTTTGAAGTGCTTGGTTGGTCACTTGGTATAATACATATTCTTTATGTCTTATTTGATGTAGGGAATGGTGTGAATTAGTTATTTTGCATTTTAATTGAGAGTATTAGAGAAAGAAATGCCCATGTTACTCTATATCAGGATAGCCTAACTCTATATCAGGCTATTAGGATATCAATGACTCAAACAACTGATATTAGAGGCAAATATTAGATTAAAATGCCTACTATCATACGGATTGCATGTTCATGTTATTCTTTGTATTCTGATATTTATCTGTTTTTTATTTTTTAAAATTTATTGACCCCATCAAAAGTGATGTGCTTGCATTGGATCCAATCAAGCATTGGACCCTCATAGGCATTGAGTCCCCATCCCTCATTTGATAACATTTTAGAGATGGTGCCAAGTAAAGACAATTCCACTGAATAGAGAAATAGGTATTGGTAAATGGAGGAATGGGCAGCATTCCCCATAACAACTTCTATGAAGATTTAAGGAAAAAGATAGGGTTTCACGATATGGAGTAATGGATTTTATTGAATGGAGAAATTTTGGAAAAATGAGTTTTCATTGAATGGAGAAACTATGAAAACAAAAGGGTGAAAAGAATTGGGGTCCTTGGAATGGAGAAATAGGGGTTAGGTATCATAAAAGTGAGAAAAACAATGTTGAAGAGAGAGAGGAAAGCGGTTAGAGAGAGAGAGAGAGAGAGAGAGAGAGAGAGAGAGAGAGAGAGTAGTACGTTACGTTTCGTTACGTTCTTCGTAGTAGTATAGTATACTATTTAGTTAGTAGTAGTAGTAGTATACTACGTATAGTACGTACGTCGT